AATAATTAGTAAAATTAAAATTAATTTTTATTTTTTTATATAAATTTATAATAAAAATATATAATAAATTCATTCAGAAGACATAGATCAAAAAAGTTTTAAAAAATCAAAAGAAAAAGGGATAAGATATGTAATCTCTTAGCTCTAGGCTTTTCCCTTCTAATTGCCCCAGCACGCGAGGGAACAACAACCTGCATTGCATTTGCAGGAAAGGAAATTCCTTTCGCCTTCTTGAATTCCCACTTACAACGTGGAATTCTCTTCTTTTTATTTGGATTTTTTTTGCTTAATTTAATAAATAGTTTAGTAAGTTTTTATTTAGGTTAAATGTTAATTTTGATCTCTCAACTTTAAAATTTTATATAATTTTTATCTTTTAATTTTTTATATACTTTTTTGACCTTTTTGTCAATTAATATATTAAATTTATCTAAATATACATATTTTTAATTCTTAACTTAGAGTTGAGGGACGCAAAATGTGTATATATTAGAAGTTAAGGTTTTGTACAATTTTCATCATTCAACTTTTTTATATATTTTTTTAATCCTTTAATTAAGAAAAAAATATTTTTTAACCTTTTCATCAGTTAGTTTATTAAGTTTGTCTAAATATACATATTTTTAGTCCCTAACTAAAAGTTGAGAGACTAAAATATATATATATATATATATGAAGTTGAAAGATTAAAAATGTGCAGATTCAGATAGACTTAATGAACTAACTAGTAAAGGGCCTAAAAAATGCATTTTTAATAGTTAAGGGATTAAAAAAGTACATAAAAAATTAAATGTTGAAAATTATGTTAAACTTTAAAGTTGAGGGACCAAAATTAACATTTGACCTTTTATTTATTATTTTTAAATATTTTAAATACTTATCTATTATCTTTTACTTTTATTTCAATTTAATTTTGTTTATTAACTTTTTAATAGCAGTTCTATTCTATTTGGTTAAATTAATTTCAACTATATCTTTTATAAATTTATACTCCATGAAATTAATTTTGAAATAAAACTAATTTTGTAAGGATAATAAATTCCTTTCTAATGTTTGAAGAACTATAATTTTTATCACATATTATTTCAGTTCTTCTTTTTAATAATTCTCTTTTATTTTGTAGCAGAAATTACAATTATTGACATATTTTAATAGTTAATATAATCCGTTGTGAGTTGCTTTATTGATTATGACTACTTTGTTTTTATTTTGATTTAATTTTTTTAATTATTTTTCTATTAAAACTAATAAAAGTTGGATTTATCTAACATGTATCCTTAGAATACATGTTAAGAGTATAATTAATACACATTTTTTATATTAATTAGTATAAAAAATAGTAAAAGTTGATATTAATTTTATCATTACTGCTACATGTATCATTTTTCAATGACAATTAATACTAAAAAAATACCCTTAACTTGTGCCCTAAGGCACGGGTTAGAAAAATCCATAAAAGTTTTGTACAATAAATTATGTTAAAATATTTTACAAAGTTTATATATTATTTTAAAAGAAAACTGACTTTCTTAGTTAAAATGAAATTAGCTTAATAGTTAATAAATCAATTATTAAATTAACTCTTTTTTTAAGAAAAAAAAGAAAAACCCCAAGAAGAAAAAAGAAAAAAAATTTGTTTAACTAGTATCTTAAGTATATAAATTAAAAGTGTAATAAACATATTTTTTAATATCATTAACACGTAAATTATTTTAATTGATTAGTTAATTAATTCAAAGTTAATATTTATCATTTATATAAATTACTTATAAAAAAATATATTTATTATACTCTTCACCTATATTTAAAGAATAAAACTTAGAAAACAAAAAAAAAAAAAAAAAAAAAAGGGGTATGCAATCGCTTATCTTCGGGTCTTTTCCATCTAATTTCATGGTTTTGTTTTTACATCTTGATCATAAATCTCCTAATTTCATATCCATGAAATTTCTTCCTTTTACTTGGAGCGGGGGTCCCATTTGCATCCATTCCTATGTCTCATACAAAACCTTTCTTTAATTACATCAAGCAGTATAACCCTGATCCACAAAGAAAGTGCTTCCTTGGTGAAATTCCTTGAAAGATAATTCGAAAGTGTTTCAACGAGGATTAAGAAAGTCGTGAACAATAAAAGCACGTTTCTAAAAAATGCTAGTTAGAAATTTGATTGCATGTTTATTTTTCTCTTTTTTTTTTTAAACGGAAAAAGTTAAAATTAGATTAATATATATAATTTTTTAAAGAAATATTTTAACATATACCCTAAGTTTCATTAAATATAGTATTTTTACTTACTGTTGTATAAATTTTATGTTAAATTTAATTAAAATAAAATATAAAATATAAAATTAAAATATAATATAATATTTATAATCAAAATCTGTAAACAAAAATATGAATTTAATATAAAATTTTGTATAAAATTAATTATAAATTTTATAATTAATAAAATTTGACCTGTACCATTACCACACATATTAGACAACTCTTTTTTTAAAAAAAATCTAATTTTTCAAGAGGGTGATTGATTTGTGATTTTCAGGAGGGTGGTAATTCACATGGCTCCAACTGGATACATGTACAGGAGACTTGGCTAGCTAGAAGAATCGGAAATGAAAGAGAAGTTAGCCTAGTTATTCTAGATGATTTTTTCTTTTTTGAACATTCATGAGATTTTGTATTATTTAATTAGTAATAATTTATATTGGTACACAAAAGACTACATAGCATTGTAGGTCGATTGATGGTTTAGTAGAAAGGGCACTTACCCTTAAGACAATGTTTTGCCACCCAATCCGCTACGGAGTTAGCCTTCCTACTTACATAGTTAAATTCAGAAAAAGAGAATGGCTTGCACACAAACACACGAGATTTGATAGCAGTCCATTCTTAACTTTGAGTAGGACTTTCTCAGGGTTGGTTTTTTTTTTTTTTTAATTAGTGATTTAGAAATAATTTATACATTTATTTATAGTATTATTTTTAAAAAATAAACAAAAGATAAAAAGAGATGAGATTTTTTTATTAATTGAATAATTAAAGTAAATAAATAAAAAATGATTAAGTAGGAAAAAATATTTGTATATCTTAATAATGAAAATTGACAATTAATTTTGTTCAAATTTAAAATAAAAAATGATAATTATTTCAAGATAAAAAGAGTAGACTGTAAATTCTAAAATAATATACATAGTTACAATGTCTTTTAATACTATAAGATTACAACATGATATATCATTATATGAGTAAAGGTGTAAAAAAGATTTCAACTTTACAATTTTTTCTATTTAAGAATGTTAACTTTGTCGATTTTTAAATAAAGATGTCAACTTTCAATATTTTTTATTTAAGGATATCAACTTTCAACTTTTTTTATTTAAGGATACTAACTTTAAACTTTTTTCTATTTAAGGATTAATTGGATAATAATGCTAATATGGTAAATGAATTTTTTAATCAAAATGTTGAAAGTTAACATCCTTAAACAAAAAAAAATTGAAAGTTGATATCTTTAAATAGAAAATGTTGAAAGTTGATATCTTTATTTAGAAATTGACAAAATTAACATCCTTAAATAGAAAAAATTGTAAAAGTAATATCTTTTTTTGCACATTTACTCATCATTATATACTACATTTATTTAATTTTAGTAGTTCTAATTGGATTTTTTGATTTTTTAAATATGAATTTAAGAGAAAAACTTAACCTATTATACAAATGATATTTAAAATTTTTTTTAATTAAATAAAAATATTTAAAAAGAACAAAATATAAAAAATTTAATTATTATTTATATAAATTGTTAAATTTTTATATAAAATTTATATTTAAAAATTAAAAAATAAAATTAAAAATATCAAAATTAAATAAATGAAGTAATTAATTGTCAGAGCACGCGAGGAAAGGAACAACAACCTGAATTGCATTTGTAGGAAAGAAAGTTGCTTTTGCCTTCTTGGATTCCCACTTGCAACGAGGAATTCTCTTCTTTTTATGGTAAAAATAGATAATTAATACATCTTACTGTATAAGTTAAAAATTTTTTTAAAAATAAAAAGAAAAAGGGGAAAGATATGCAATCTCTTAGTTTTAGGCTTTTTTCATCAAATTTCATTATTTTTGTTTTATTCTTGGTCATAAATTTATTGATTTCATACCTAAGAAATTTCTTCGACTTGGAGGGTGTCACACCCCAGAACCTAAATTCGAGGCGTAACAAACGCCGTGCACTCGTAAGAGGATCCCATAAATGCACAAGGCTCGAAATTTATCCAAATCACAAACTCTATTCTCGCAAAATCTGTTTTAATACTATAAAATTCAAAGTACAATCTATATTCCAAGAATGATAATATATTCCATAAATCTGTGTCCAACATGACTTAAACTCAAAATAATGAATCTAACTTACAAGGACAATCTAAACTCAAAATCTATATCCAAATGCAATAGCTAGCCAATTAACTCGTCACTCCCCTTGATCTCCGTGTCTCGGGTCATACTACCTGAAATGGTGGACAAGGGAAAACTATGAGATAAAATATCCCAATAAGTAAATGTATGGATAACCGTGGGTAAAATTTGAGCATTTCAGATAAACAGTTTAAACATAAACAGAATGTTCAATGATGAACCATTATGCAGAATAAAGTTCAGTAGTAGTCAATTAAACTTATAGCATGCCAACAAGTGCAATCAGAAAAACAGATACAAGTACGGGAACGAAATAGACGTCTCCTCTATAGGTCACAGCCAGTGTTATAACAACCCACTGGCAGGCGCCAGAAAGTACTAGTGTTTAACCCCCACTAGTAGGATTACAAAAATTCCAGTGTTTAACAACTCCCACTAGCAAGAGGAACCGGCTCTACAGAAATACATTTCGACATGTGCTAGCGTTTAAACCCCACTAGCAGGATTACAAAATAACATGACCATATCGAAGACAAAACAGGCTGAAGTTAACAGAAAAACATAATTCACCAATCACTTTCAGATCATCAGGACAATCAATTAAATTCCAAGTAGGCATGCTCAATTTAATGAAAAGCATAAAAATTCCACTTCAAATCAGTCACACTTGTGTAAAACGGGTTTAGTCCCGCCACCACTTCAAAAACAAATCAAAACATGCTTTTAAAAACAGTACGGGCATTACCATAAATTTACTTACCTCACTCGCTTAAAACCAAAGGCTCGATCTCAATGCTAAATTGACAGAACGATCAGGAACCTAATCACAATATTCCGCAGTTAATACCTCACTACCACAATTTCAAAGTGAAATCATCATTAGCATTACCCCTAATCACAGTGCTATTTCTATCAATATCCACATGACCGAACATCTCCAAATTTATTCTTATATCACAAACTAAACATTTAAATCCCCGTTAATTATTAGCCGGTGTGTGAACAGTACCCATGAACAGTACACGTTAACAGTAACTTCAACTTCCAAAATTGACAAAACAATAACCAATCTCACGGGATTTTTCTCCAAAATCACAACAACCCAATTCAAACTAATTTACACTTAAACTAAGCTTAAAATCATAGCTTAAGCAACCGAAATTCCCCATTTCTCACGGCATCACAGGGAGAGCATAACTTGGCAAATCACAACTCACACACACACGGGATTTCTCACATAAAACATCACAGCAGCTAATTCAAGCTAAATTCTACATAATCAAGCCTAAAACACATTTAATTTACTGCCAATTCTTCCCCTGTTTTGACAGAAAATTTGGACAAGAAGGCAGCAGCTACATGTATAAATTCCAACTACTAATTGGGTAAAATTCAGCCTTGGAGAAGCTAGCACATACCGGAATTCCTCTCTTTTTTTTCCGGCCAATAGAACCCGCACCAGGCGAGCATGGGAGCTGACGGGATTTTGGGGGAAGAAGCTCACGGCTCTACCAGAAATTGGAAGGGAATAAAGCAATCAAAGTAAACCCAACCTAAATCAAGGTTAAAAAGAGGGATTCATGGCTAAATCTTACCAGAAAAAGCCCAAAAACCTCACACCCACATGGCAGCCGACGGACAGGGGAGAAGAGCTGAGCAGATTCGGGATTCTCTGGGTTGAGAGGGACGATTCTAAGCCCCCAAATCTTGTTATTGAACAAGAAAGAAGGAGAATTCATCAAGATCTCACCAGGTTTTCAAGGGGTAGAGAGTCGGTGGCTTGGGGGGCTTGTCGGGAGGAGGAGTCGGGAAGAAGAAGAAGAAGAAGAAGATGAGGAAGAGCAAAACACGTGGCTGAGGAGAGAAATATCAGCCCTGATACTTATCCTAATTTCCTTTCTTTTAAGTCCTTGAACTTTGAAAATTTCTATTATTAAGGCCATTAATAATACTTCCTCACAATTAGGTCCCTACGCACACTTTAATGTTCTAGGAAATTTTGGGGTATTACAGAGGGTCCCTTTTGCATTCAATCCTATCCCTTATAGGGCTTCTTTTGTTTTTTGAAGGGAGAGGTAATGAAGAAGAATCCCTTGCTTATCTAAAATATTCATATAAAATTTCATTGCGTTTCAACATGTATTTTAAATGAAAAAAAAAAGACAAGGAAAACTCAACATTTATTTATACTGAGGATATCAACTATTAATTATATTATCTAATAATAAAAGGCAAAAATATGACATAAGGACCCGAACTTACACCAAATTCGTAATTTCAGACCCAAACTTTGATTGCGTTCAATGAAGGTCCCGAACTCCATGAAATTCTCAAATAAGGTCCCAATTGGAGGGAAAACTAACTTCTGGTTAAATCTCCTATTATTCCGTTAATGTTCCGTCACATTTCACAAAAATATTGGTTAAATGCTAATTTTGGTCCCTCAATTTCATTGAGTTTCACTTTTTGGTCCCTCAACTTCATAAATTTCACTTTTTTGTCCCTCAACTTCATTAAATTTCACTTTTTTGTCCCTCAACTTCATTAAATTTCACTTTTTTGTCCCTCAACTTCATTAAATTTCACTTTTTTATCCCTCAACTTTATTAAATT